CCAGCAACGAACTCGGCAGATCTCGTCACGATTTGATCGGAACGAAAATAATGAACGCCCGCGACCGCCTTGACCTTCGCTGTCGGCTGTCCGTAATTTCGGTAACTGACCTACGTATAAATAACCATTGTTGCTAGACTGGACAGCGGCGTAGTCGGAATCATTTTATTGCTGGATCTTACGTACAAACGTGAAAAATGGCAAAACTGGCGAGCGAGTATTGTAATCGCGAAAAACTTTGATGAAAGGTTACTATTAGACAAGGGATGAAAAAAAATAAAAATGGGGGTTTTTAATGATTGTAGTATTAGTCAAAGACGTTCTATGATTAAGAAACTTCTTAGCCCGGTAACAGCGGGAATTTTGTTTGACAAGAGACAGAATTGTCCTGCCGTCCCTTCCCGCCCGAAGTGTGAGATTCTGCAGTAGTGGCATACTCACTAGAATTCCTCAGTCGTTCGTTTCAGATCCCACCACGGTAATGCTGCATTTCTTCCTAGTGGGTAGCGTTGCGCTGGGTGTTCATACCTAAATGACATAGAAAATGCAACACTAGGAGTGCTGTAATTTTGAGCGTACTTTTAAAAGTTTAAGTTCTACTTATAACTAGTTTTTTCAATAAAAAGTGTGGATGGAGCACGCTTTTCATGAATTTTTTTCCCCAAACACTGTATTTTTTAGCAGTTATTTCCCCCATTATTTCCACCGCCATCTACCATATGACGCTGACGTCTGTGGATATGTCGTATATGAGAGGCGCTCCCTGCGGTGTTGCCGGATTGGGTTCCGTATTTAGGGAAAAATATGAAAAGTGGAAAATGTATACACATATACAGGGTGTTTCAGTTTATTGTTGCATAACTTTAAGATTCGATAGAACTTTTAAAATTAATGCATAAAGTCTATATAAACATGGGTCGGAAAATGCGTGGCTTCCGAAATACAGGGTCTTTTCGTTTTTTGCAATTGTGAATGCACGAAATTTAGTTTCTTTTACCTGTTTTTTTTTTGTAAGTTTTATAAAAATGCCATTTTTATTCTCCAATCAAGAGTTAGCGGATATTCATTTTGTGTATGGCTTTGTAAATGGAAACGCAGCAGAAGCAGCCAGAGAATACGCACGAAGATTTCCAAACAGACGACATCCAACACGCTCAGTATTTGCAAGAGTGCATCGCGAAATTATTGAAAATGGTTTTGGAAATCTCCAAAGGGATCAAAACATAAATGTTCATCAGCGCAGATTTACCCGTATGATTCTGCGTGAGTTTGATAGAGATCCGACCACAAGTGTTAGGAGAGTTTCTGGTGCCTTGGGAATTTCAGCAAGCCATGTTTACCGTGTTCTTAGAAATGACCATAGAAGTCCTTACCATTTGCAACCTGTGCAAGGACTACAGCCTGGGGACGGAGAACGAAGAATCACATTTTGTCAGTGGATTCTTGATAGAACTGATAATATGTTATAATAGGAAGTTTTTAAGTAACGTTTTATGGACCGATGCGTAATGCTTCACTAGATGTGGAGTGGTAAATTTTCATAATCAACATATTTGGTCGCATGAAAATCCGCATGCAGTTCAGGAAAGAAATTTTCAGCATGAATTTAGTGTGAACGTGTGGATTGGTATCTACCTTAATCGACTATTTCGACCCTACCTTTTGCCTGCAAGGGTAAATGCTGCGACCTTCTTGGAATTTTGAAAGGCTGAACATGCAAATATGTGGGATGATGTTATGTTAGATTTAAGAAGATTGGCCTGGTTCCAGCTTGATCGTTGTCCAGCTCATTATTCAAGAATAGTTAGAAACTGGCTGGACGAAAATTATCCAGAAAGATGGATCGGCAGTAGAGGACCAGTCGACTGGCCTCCACGATCCCCTGACCTAAATCCATTAGATTTCTTTGTGTGGGGATTTCTAAAAGAAAAAGTGTACCAGACTCCCGTAACCACAAGAGATATGCTAATAGACAGAATCAGGAATGCATGTGATGAAATAAGGCCTTATTTGAATAATTCGATCATTCGCAGATGTGAATTGTGTATTGAACAATTGGGTTTACATTTCGAGCAACTACTTTAGATTTTGTATGTTTCTCCTAACTATCCAGCATTTTAGTTGTAAATAATTAATTTAATTTGTTAAAAATAATATTGGAAAATTAAACAAATTAATACTCTGTTTTTTGTGTTTATTTGGAGTTAGGAATTATTGCTGTGTTTAAAAACACAATCTAAACGATCATCTTAATTACTTGTAATGCCTAAATCGAAAAAGTAAAAAAAATATTATTTTCCCATAAATAATTAAAAATGCATCGAACCTTAAAAATCGAAATATCTCAAAAACGGCTAACTATAACGAAAACTCACAGGAGAGCTTTTTGATGCATAAAAGTGCGAAGAATCAGTTTTTTTATTCAAAAAGCAAAAAATTGCACAAAGAAAAAATTTTCGGTCATTTTAAAACACAACAGGTACACTAGAGACCGCCCTCTAGCGGCTACAGTAAAACTATGCCCATGGTTCGTTTTGTCGTACCACAAAACCCTTGTATACCAATTTTCACTGTTATACATCAAATATTGTTCGAAATATTTAAAAAACACTATTTTAGAAAGTAAATTTATTTCGGAAGCCACGCATTTTCGACCCATGTTTATATAGACTTTATGCATTAATTTTAAAAGTTCTATCGAATCTTAAAGTTATGCAACAATAAACTGAAACACTCTGTATATTAATGAAACACAAAAACAAAAAACTGAAACAAACAACAGTAGTAAAATTAAAAGTAATTCTTACTAAGTATAAAACAAAAAATAACAAACAGCAGTAAAATAAAAACCAACTCTAAGTAGTTATAAAAAATTAAAACAGTAGTAAAAGTTCCATTTAATTATAAAAAAACAAAAAATAGTAAACAGTGAAATAAAAAGCAATTTGGATGGAATGAAATTGTTCTTCGTTTTACTACTGTCTTTACTTTTTGTTTTGTGTTGTCATTTAGAATTGCTTTTTACTCAACATGGAATTGTTTTTTTTTTTGTTTTACTACTTTTTATTTTACTGCTGTTTGTTATTTTTTGATTTTTATAATTACATGGCTTTTGTTTTACTACTGTTTTTATTTTTTGTTTTTTATAATTATTTATAATTTATCTTTTTTTAGCTTACTACTGTCATTTTTTCGCCTTTTATTTTGCTACTGTTGTTTGTTTCAGTTTTTGTGATTCATTAATTAATATACATATGTATATAAATTTTCAACTTTTCATATTTTTCCCTAAATGCGGAGCCTAATCCGGCAACACCGCAGGCAAGCGCCTCTCATATATGACATGCACAGAAGTCTACGTCATACAGCTGATAGATGGCGGTGGAAATAATGATGGAAAGAACAGCTAAAAATACAATGTTTTGGAAAATATTTTTCATGAAAAGCGTGCTTCATCCACACTTTTTTGTTTATAAATAATCTACCAAACTACCCTATAAAAGTTTTAAGAGAAAAAACACTGAAATCGGAAGTTCTACAAGACGCAACAGCACCTAGAATCCTTTAAAATAAAAGCAAAACAATAATATCACAATATCACAATTTCTTACCGATTCCTTTTGTAGTAAATTCGTTAATAAAATACAGCAAAAAATAGACATCAGAGTGTGGTTCCTTGTTAAAAAATATGAAAAAAGTTTCTATAAACGTGGGTCCGGAAATGCAGAGTTTAAAAGATACAGGGTGATGAATTTAAAAAAAAAATTTAGTATCTTTAAAAAATATTTACTTGATTCTGTTGAAATTTTATTAGTTGTATTAACGGCCTTGCAAAAATTATTTTTTGTTTTCCAAGTCACTTGTGATTTTCTTAGCAAAAACTACTAAAACAATTTTGTCGAAAACAAAGTGAGATACGCAAAAATACAAGAGGCAAAGAAGTGGTATTTTTAGATACTTAATCAAACAACGAATATTAAAGTTACAAAAAAGGCAGCGGCGTACATATTTTACCAATAATATTCGCTAAGGTGCCCCCGGGAACGCCACTGGACCTAACAATTTTAATATATTTAGGGCTACATAAGCCTCTTAATACAGCAAATAATATTGCCAAATTTCAACAGAATCGAATAAATATTTTTTATATAATAATGAAAAAAAAAATTTTTATTCATCATCATCACCCTGTATTTTGAAAACTCTACATTTCCGGACCAATTTTCATAAAAACCTTTTTTCATATTTTTTAACAAAGAATCTCTCTCTAAAATATCCTCGTCTATTTTTCGAACACCTTATATAGAAAAATCGTAACACCCTGTATATAATAATTAATTTTGTCGAAAACAAAGTGAGATACGCAAAAATACAAGAGTCAAAGAAGTTGTATTTTTAGATACTCAATCAAACAACGAAATTAAAGTTACAAAAAGGTCAGCGGCGTACATATTTTGCCAATAATATTCGCTAAGGTGCCCCGCGGAACGCCACTGGACCTAATAATTTCAATCTATTCAGGGCTAAATAAGCCTCTTAATACAGCAAATAATATTGCCAAATTTCAACAGAATCGAATAAATATTTTTTATGTAATAATGAAAAAAATTTAATTCATCATCATCACCCTGTATATTGAAAACTCTACATTTCCGGAACAATTTTTATAAAAACCTTTTTTCATATTTTTTAACAAAGAATCGCTCTCTAAAATATCTTCGTCTATTTTTCGAACACCTTATATAGAAAAATCGTAACACCCTGTATATTCGTGCATTCACCAAAATAAAAATCCGTAGACGACATGCTAACGTATAAACACACTAGATATGCACCGAATACGAACAGCAACTGCCGACGGGGTGTCGGCGATACCCCGAGCCTGAGTTCTATCCTGTCGAATCCTGCAACGCTTAGGCGGCTGCAGCGTTGCCGCGCTGCTTCTTTGTTGTAAACGGACTACGAATAGGGTATGGTTAACGGCAAGTTATTTGTTTCAGTGTGTTTTTGGTGCGCGACTCCCGCACCCACCAGGGTTCGTTTGTGATAACGTACAAGAGCGGCCAGAAGGTGCTACACGCGCAAGTCAACCCCATTTTGGACCCGCTCAGGGACCGACCCGTCCTCTCTATCGACAACGGGGCCACAAAGTTCTACGATCTGCTGCAGCTCGTCGAATTCTACCAAGTAAGATCAACACTAATACTTCTATTTCTATGCTAGCACATCCACCAAAATCGGAAAATTTCGCCATCACCATAGGCGTACCTCGGGGCAAAAATTAATGAACCAATTTTGTCCAGTGACATGCAATAAAACGATTTTTTATTTTTTTCTCGAAAACGAAGTGATATGCGAAAAATAGTCGCTAATGTGCCCCACTGGACGCCACTGAATTTAATAATTTTATTTATTTAGGGCTAAATTAGCCTCTTAATACAAGGTGTCCGCAAATTTGGGGTTTTCCTTTACACGACGTGTAGATCTTGTAAACATAAGCAATTTTTCTTAGTACCACATACACCAATGTCTTAAGGGAACCGAGATAAAGGGCTCTGCAACATCAAAAATATCTGAATACCGTCCTGTAGCCGCGACATCCCCGACTGGTACTAGGACACTAGCTCAACACGACGACAGAACTGGGTCGGGGTCAGTGTGTCAGGTCAGTATGCAACCTTCAACCGACGGTTACGGTCACGCGTCTAGAGGTAATCGCGTAGACGAGAATCCCTCAACAAGCACTAGAGACGTGGCTAGAGAAGTGCAAGTATCAAAAACTAAAGTGTGGCAAACGCTGCGTGAAGAGGGGCTGTATCCGTTTCACGTCCAACGTGTACAAGCCCTTCAACCTGACGATTTTCCAGCAAGAGTGCGGTTTTGTGAGTGGTTGTTGCATCAACATGACAATAATCCGGACTTTTTGAAGTGCATATTGGTGACAGACGAATCTACGTTCACGCGTAATGGGGTGAATAACTTTCGCAACACTCATGTTTGGTCAGTAGAAAATCCGCACGCTGTCCGTCGGGCACATTTTCAACAAACATTTTCGGTGAAGGTTTGGGCTGGCATGGTGAACGGTATGCTCATTGGACCATTTATTCTCCCAAATCGATTGGACGGGATGCAATACCTAGACTTTTTACGCATCATTTTGCCTTCCTTGTTTGCCTGCGTCTGCTCGGTAGCGCATCAGCTGATTTCATTTTCTATTGGAGCGGTATGATTTCGGGCAGAGACGTACTTAGCCCTTCTCGTCAACTGGAGAGTGAGTACTTTTTCCTTTATTTTTTTTTACTTGGTCGCCCTCGTTTCACTACACATTAACTTTGTTATTTCAAGGTAGTTGTTTCTGAAAAGGAAAACCCCAACTTTGCGGTATAACAAATAATATTGCCAAATTTCAACAGAATCGATTAAATATGATTTAAGATATAAATAAAAAAACATTTTTTAAATTTATCACCCTTTATTTTGAAAACTGCATTTCCGGACCCATGTTTTAACACCCTTCGTCTATTTTTCGAACACCTTGAATTATTTCTATCTTCAAACACCCTGAACTTATATTTTTTTATTATCAGCTGAATGCCGGCTGTCTACCCACGCGTCTAACGCACTACGTCACATTTCTGCTGACCGCGTCCGACGACAACACCTCAGAAAACGCAAATATCGCCAGTTCTCCGTCACCGAACGAAAGCAGCTCCGGTGGTTCCTCGGCGAGCAGCGCCAATTGAAACGTTGGCACCGCCCATAAAGTGGGGAGTCTATTTGGCGTCCACCGATTGGAGATTGGAAATTAGGGGAGGAGCGGTAGCGCCTCTGGGCCGTTTCATTGGTCTTGCGCGTTGTTACTTGTCAGACGGGAGTGGATGTTACGTTGAAAGGGATGTATGGACAGTGTGCCCCGAGTTTTTTAGGCAAAATTCTGAAGAGGAAACAGAATACGTGTACAATTTAATCGTTTCGCTTTGCGCTGTTTCAAATAATTTTTTTCACGTAGGTATTAAAAACCTTGAACTGCCGACGCCAAAATCTCGGGACACGTTGTCGAGAGAGAACGCCAATTGTGTATTTTTGTAGGAATAAGAAAGAATATAAAGTGATGAAAACTTATTTGTAGTTATTGGCAATTATGACATTCTGTTTGAGAGAGACGTCGTTATCCGTTTTGAAAAATATAGACTATTGATTTCTTCTTCTAGACCTAGCTTGTCCTGTCAAAAGTCATAAACGGATGAGGTCTTTAAAAATAGAATATTTGACAATGATGCGAACCAGCAATGTAGCGCTTTATGCTGAATCGCAGTAGGCGTGGTTTTCAGTTTGACAGCAGTCTTCACTTGTCTGTCAGAAATCTGTCAAACTGGTCATGATTATGAAATTGATCCACGACTAGTATTTTTTTGAAACAGAATGTCTCGGTTGGAAGTTTGGGAACTACAAAAAGAATGTGTGGCCCGGTAAGTGGAGACGTAGGTATTTTTTCAAAATTCTTGCAATAATAGTATAATGGATGAAAATTTAGGTAAGTATTTTTCTTTAGCATAACGAAAACATCCGGATCCTGCGATGGGCAAAAATTTTGGATTTTTGATTTTTTCGTTACAGTCCTGTAAATATTATATATAGAAAAAAAGTTGTTGTACCTTCAGTCGCTACCTCAAAAAACTATTTTATCAATTCGAGCCTTGATTTTCATAGTCTTTTCTCTCCTTCGGAAAAGCTGTGTCATGGCTACTGTTCCTTGTCAGCGCTGTCCTACTTATGTTTTCTCTTTAAATTGTAGGGAATTTCAGGCTAATAAAACAGATGATAAAAATCAACAGTTTGATACAAATGTAACGTAACCTCAAAATATAGCGCCTTTCTAGGAAGAACTATGAAAATCAAGGAGGCCATAAAGGCGTCCTACAATTGCTTTTTACAATTTTTTACTGTTCCATGTCAGAGCCCTATTTTGAGGTTATGTCACAAACATCTATTTGCATCAAATTGCTTATGGTTTTGATTCATATCATCTGTTATATTAGCCTGAAATTTTTTACAATTCAAAAAGAAAACATAGACTCACAATAGGAGAGCGCGGATGCTGACACAGAGCATTAGAAATCTAGAAATACCCCAGCCTTTCTGAAGGAGATAAAATACTATGAAAATCAAAGAGACCATAAAGGTGTTCTACAATAATTATAGGATAATCTCGTAAATGAACAACTTTTGAAGCTTATCTAGCTACAAAATTGTCTCAACAACTCTTGATGATTTACAGGACCGTAACAAAAAAATCAAAAATCTGTCTACGGTGGAATCTGGAACATTTCGTCATGTCAAATAACCTAAATCCAAATTTCCATCCATTATAGAATCTTTGTTAGATCAAAAGTGTGCATTTACTGGGCTAGTGATTGTCAATTGATGATACATGTTGTGTCCATCTGAATTATGTATAAATGATATTGTCATACATACAATACATAAAAATATATATCCAAATATATCAAAAAATAACTTAATACATGACATTTATCTAATAAGACTATTATAGTATTTATCTCCATTATGGAATGAAAAATGCATATATTTGTATTGTTAATTGACAATATTCTATAAAAAAACTGAGTAGGCTCTTTGGCAGATGAGAATGCTTCTTACTTTATTTATCGTCATAACAGAGGCTAAGGACAATCTTGTCATTGGTACACAAAAAATGGTTATTGTTGACATAAGAAAACATTTATTTTTGACATAATCAAAGCGCTAATCTTATGAGAAAAAAAACGCAAATTTCAGATTACAATCTATAAAGTCAAATAGTTCTCAAGGCAGGTATTGATGACCTTGATCTTGACCTTAAACATGGTGCTCAAGGTCGAAAATGTGCTCCTTGAACGTTATACATCGTAGTGAGCCCTACAACTTTAATGTTTTTTTGTTTTGTTTTGACAATAGTGACCTTGATTACGACCATTAAGGTCATTGCAAGGTCGAGTGGACATTTTCAAATGGAACTACCTTTTTACTTTGGAATTGGAAAGGGGAGGAAATTTCAAGTCCGATTATGATTTGACTACTTCCATCAAGGTCATTTAAATGTCTAATCAACGTTGAGAACAACTTGATCTAGCAAAGATGTTCGTCAGCACAGTTGTGATCTTGACATGACTTTGAAGGTCAAGTCAAATTTCCAAAGGAAATGACTCATTTTTATACTGGAAATGGAAAAAGCAGGAAATTTTACCTCGGAATGTGACAAAGTCAAGATCAAGGTCGTTTCAAGGTTAAATGTCATTTGAGGTTAAGGTACGTAAAATTTCCTGTTTTTTTTTCATTTCCAGTGTAAAATTGAGTTGGCTTGACCTTGGATGTCAATGTTTTTATCAAGGTCATGATCAAGGTTACCTTGACTTTTTTTGTTTTGACAGTGATTTTTATGTACTCCAAAGTCAAAAATGAATATTTTCTCTCAACATTCTGACAAAACGCGAAAATAACTTTTCTTAAAAATTCATCTCGACTGGTGTTTTTGTACTGTTCTGGTAGAGCTGTAGGCAGAATTTGGAAAGGTTATATTTGCAAATTATACGAAATCCAGATATTCCTTTGTATAAAGGGAAATGGTCTCACTATATACAGGGTGGTATTAAATTAGAATTATTTGCAAAATCTCCGATTTCTTACCATCCTCGCTGTATTAACAGATTTGAAATATTTGAATATGAGATATAAGTAACATTTATATAGTGATTTTTTTTTTATTTACATCACTTTAAAAAAGAGTCGAATATTGTGTGATATTTGATAAATTTTAAAAATATTGGAATGAAATGTAGATAGGTTTAGTTTTTAATAATCTCTAATTTAGTGAAACTTTACACGTACCTTAAAGAATTCAAAATGTTAATTTGATGTAGGTTAGGGTATTTGAAATATCAAGTTCAGTAGAATTTGAGGAAATTTTGTTGACTGCAAAAACAATAAAACATAATTGCTAACCTTAAATAACATATTACCAACTTATCTATACATAACTATATCGTTTGACAATAACCTTGAATATGACCTTCAAGGTCATTTCAAATAGAACCCACTCCCAAAACAGGAGGAAATTTTACGACCGATTATCATCATCATGGCCTTGACTACTTCCTCCAAGGTCATTTCAACGTCTAATCAAGATATTGACCATGTGACCTTGACCATGACTTTGAACGTCAAGTCAAAAT